TTACACGCAATTTAAAATGTATATTTCATAATATTATTTTATTTTAAGATTTATTCCTATTGATAGAACCCCAAGATTTATCGGAAGGGTCTTGATATAATCCGCAAGGCGTATACTTATACACAAAAAGTGATTATTATTATATATGTCAATTTTTCGGCGAAATTCGGGTAAAATAGCAGAATAACCCCAACATTTTTTTCTGAAATTTCTTGTATACAATTAAAAAAATAAATATGATGACATTATTTTTTCGAACCAAAAACAAATATTTTTCCTCAAAATCTTGTTTTGTTGTCGCTGTGATTTAGAAACCCCTACACGGACTTGTGTGATTTTGATATCATTTGATTCACCATGGTGTTTAGATTATGTAGATATTTTTAAATTAATTTTTAGGTGTGTGTATGTCATTAATATAATGAAAATGTTGACGTAATCTCCTATATTTTTATTATTTTTCTCATATTTCGCGAAGATGTACAACTTTTTCGCGATTATTCATATTTTTATTTTACGGAGGAAGATATATATCAACGTTTTTGGTCAATATAATAAACGGCGTAATTTTAAGATTTTTTTCTTATGCCCAAAATTAAAACCTCGATAACTTTTGCGCGCATCAACCAAAAATTTGATCGCGAACGGTTTCGGAGTCAGAACATCTATATGTGTACCAAAAATCATAGGCTCATGTTTTTGAAAATCACATGTACAAAGGTCCCACCACTATATTGACGTAGTCCCGATTTTGTTAAAACAAGTTCCCATTCTATATTGAAATTTTAACATAAAATTTCTTTTATACATTCCCAATTTTTTTGTAAATAACAAATAATTACAAAATATACAAATGTATTTATAATTTTGTTGTGTTGCGTTTATTTATAACAAAAAAAAAACATAAAAATAATAATAAAACAAACATTAGTAACAAAATATAATGCATGCCTATTTAATGCAAATTATTTTTCCATTATTTTTATAATATCTTTAGTTTTTTGTAAATTCCCTACAATCATGCATAATTATTGTTTTAGGTTTTAATTTTTTTCTTCATTATTATTATTATTATATATTGTATGTTTTACACAAAAAAGTATATTTTTAAAGCACGACGTATTGATTATTTTCGTTAATCATTCTAAACATTTATAATAAGTTAATAAAAATTAATTAATATTGTATATCGACAATCGACAGTCAGTGTGACAAAAAACCATCGTATTTTTTCTATGCTTATAAAAAAATTAATCACATTCATTTTGAGTAAATTAGCAAATAAAATCTAAAAACACAGCAGGGGGAATAAGTTTTTAGTTTAGATTATATTTTATGTATTACGGTTTAATATTTGCCCAACAATCTAATTAGAGCTGTAGATTCCTACGAATATATCATCAATTCCCCTAAAGATAAGGTCATACTTATGTCCGCACAGTTCAAAATACTTATAAGTCTCCAAGACAACGCGACCGGACTGATCTATTCATTCCCTTCACTGAAAAGAAAACTTAAACCATTATTAGGGTCCTTGCTCAACGTTTTTTGGAAGCCAATTCACAATAATGGATTTCGACAGTCAAGTTAAGAAGCATCTGATATCCACCTAGTCCCACTATATGACCTATCTGCTGCAGGGAGATAATAAAATCGTTCTTGGCGATTTCAAAGCTCATCATGAGATTTGTTTTTTCCCAACATCCAAATGATCCTTGCGGTATTCATACTGGAAACCAGAATCAGATTTCGCTTCTATCTACCAGGTGTTCATAGTCAGTCCATCACTCCTTCCATATACTTCCTGGCAAACCCAGGTCGCTTTAAATTCAGACCATATTCCCATTTTGGCCACGGTAGAGAAACCCAGCGATTTCGTGGAGCCCGATCTGCGAACTTTCACGAATTAGAATGAATCCAACTGGCACGGCATCACAAAATTCATTCCTTAAGTCTTATGCCGCCACCCGTATGTGCCAGAAAGGGTGAGTAGATTCATTCTTGAATATATTCTAAAAGTGGCAAAAAGTTTCATTCCCGCGGGCAGAATTCTTCTTATAACTATCCATCCAGGGCCTCCAGACCTGCACATACTGTAGTTCTTGAGCATAGGTGCACTAAATGGTTAGAACACCTTAACCACTGCAATATAATTTCCAAGCAGCTATGGTCCATGGTCAAAAGAAATAAAAATCTCCCTGCTACTTTCCTCAAAAATATTCAACATTCTGATGCCAAAAATGTGCATTGGACATTTCGCAGAACAGGATCAAGCGAGCAGTTATCCGGAGATCCAAGAATCTTAAAAAAGAATTGCAGCCCTTATCCGTTACATTCAGCGAGGTAGCGGAAATTATCTCCAAATCCAAGCCATCCAAAGCAGAAACGGCATATCCATGTTCATGTTAAAGAAGCTTCATGGAATAGGACTGGGTTATCTGACCAAAGTTCTCGAGTTATCGATGTAACAGTTGGTAATTCCTTATATTTGGATTTGATACGGTCGATTATTCCGAACTTATATCCCATATCACAAATTCCACCCTTCCGAGTGATATCAAGCGTTGGCTTTCCAACTATCTTAAGGGACGGCAATCCAAATATCGTAAGATTAAAATGGGAGTTCTGCAAGGCGGTGTCCTATCTCCCATTTTGTTTAACATGTATCTTGCGAAGCTCCCCATTCCTCCCAAGGTTTCGTACGCCGAGGACGACGAAAAAAAAGTTACAACTATTTAGACACAATCTCCAACTTCAAAGTCTTCTGTGTCTCCTTTCACTTCCTGGACGCGTGAAATCAATTTAGGACCATTGATTATAGTCGCATCCCCACCGTCCAAGCATACAAGTCTATTGCCTATAGACTTATGGCTAAAGCCACAGGCACAGTTTCGACTCTTCAAATCCCAAATCCTATTAATAATTAATATCTTTTCCTTGTTCCGTTTTCTATCAAAATTTTAAGGAAAGAAGTTTCATCAACAGCCAACCTGTTAAGACAACTGTATGACCTTATTAATAGCTTGGCTACGCAGCTGTTGTTTTTCTGCTTCTATTCTATCTACTGAGTAATTACTCCGCTGTACACCTTTCAATTCTGTTGTCCCTCTCTCTACACCATACAGATCCCTCCAGACGTGCATACAAATATAAATTCTATCCATAAGGCTATGATATAGTTATGATATATGGATTGTTCAACAATGTCATACCGACTCATCTTGTCAGAAGGTTGGCATTCTTACATTCTGCCTACAGCCCGAGGTCAACAAATATATCCTTTGACATATTTATCTCAATACCTTGAATTTGTGGTCAGATTTTGATCACCATCGATCAAGATGTTCAGCGGGAAGTTCATTTATGATATACCAGCTAGTGATATACCCTCCGATGGTTATGGAATATCAGATAAAGTTTAATTTGTTCCTGGGATATCATTTCTGAGGAATTTACTTTTTAATTCTGCCGAATTCCACTTATTGACGGACGTTCAGACAAATAGTTGATATTTCAACATTTTAAATATGACCGAAGGTAGTGTTATCGCCATAAGCTCACATATTTTGGCGTAATTGAAAGTTATAGTATACGGTATCTTCTTCGAAATTAAGGTTAAATGTCTCCTGAAATATCGCAAAATGAATGAAGATGCGCTTTCCATAAAAACAGCACATAATTCAATATTTTACAAACATCCGACGTGAGGATAATTTTTATATTCTCAACTATCTTGTCGAAGTTTACAGTAATCGATTGCCCTCGATAGGTCTAGGACCACCGAATTTTAAATATTTCCTATCGATAAGAATGCTAGCACCTCATGAGTCGTTTCTATTGGCGATAAAAGCGAAATTGACATACAGTCAGTCAAATCGGACATTCCATTAGCCTAATATATGATTTATAAATATTGAAAATGTTGACCCTTTGTGTGGGAGGTACTAGAAACTGGAAAATGTCCATCTTCAGACTTGATATAGGCTTGGCAAAGATAATACATTTTGCAAAGTTTGGTTTGAAAAATGCTTTTTCAGCAATATTTTAACCATTTTGTGGGCTGTCCACTCCTTCTGGTGGACCGATAATAACCATATTTGAACTTGAGCTAAGTTTGGGAGAAATACAACGATATGCAAAGTTTGGATGAAATCGGTTACTCCCTTCAACAGTTATCGTTTATCGTGCCAGCCGGCCAGATAAACTGATGGACATTTGTAAATTGACTCCAAATTCCATCCATCTCTTGAGTGACCTTTCAGCAAAATAGTGTACCTATCACAAGTTAGAAAACTAGAGTTGGCGATTAACTTCGTCTCTTAAATCCTGATATCCATAACAGACCTCATGAATTCCGAAATCCTTCGCAGCCAACATTGGGTTTTCTTTATCAAAAGGATTTGAATAATACATTCTGCGCGAGGTCTCATAAACTAGAAGCTAAATACTTAATTTTCTATTTTTTTTTTTTTGCAAACAATAAAGTACTTGAAAGCTAATTGATTAAATTATAATTACAAATAAATACAAATTTACAACTAAGAACTTTACAAACAAACAATAAAAAAAGAAAACATACTAAGCAAACTAATTGTTCGTTCATATATAACAACCATACAATAATAAATATGCGTTTTGAATTTTTGAAGCTTTCCACCACCGACTGTTTGTACTATAATATATAAATATATTCAATTGCTATGTTGTTGTTATGAAAGTATATATGTAAATGTGGGTATACATATCGTAGTATGGATAATTGCATTAATTAATAGTGTATAGATTACATATTTTTTCAATATTTATATTTTTTTCTTTGGAATTGCAGCAGTGTTAAGTGTTATTGTTGTTAATTTTTCCTCTGTGTGTACAAATAATTTTACATTAAGTAAATAATTAATAAATAAATTTGCATTTTACTTTGTAACCCATCAAAAAAACAGAATGTGATGTTCCCTAGACGTTCTTGGACAAGTGTTTCTTTTTCGTTTTTGGTTTTGAATTTACAAAGCTATTAATTTGGTTTTGCAATTGTGTTCCAACCACATTTCCTCTAATTGCACCTTGTTGTTGAGGCTACGTTCGGGCGGTGTATTGTCAGCGGAGCCGGTTGAAGTGGGTGTCAAGACACCGGTCTAAAAATTAAAAGAAAAAATTATACGTTAATAAAAAAATTATTTTTTTAAATTATTTTGACCTACCTTTGCAATTTTCCTGGGATCCAAATTCATGCCAATATTTTGCACACCTTTGGCGATTTTCGACAGTGGACTGGTCATTGATTTCAATTGTTTTAGTTTACCCGTATCTATGGGTAGCTTTAGATCCTTGGGTGACATTGATCTGTTGGGGGAGGTTTTCAATAGTTTTTTTTTTTGGTTGTTTTTTTTTTATTATGGGAAAGAGGTAAAATCAAATTGTATGTTTTTGATTTAGATTTTTTATTTATACAAATAAATGTTTACAATTTTTATAATTTTCTTTAATGTGGTATTGGGTAAAAAAATACAAACATAAATAAAAAACAAACAATTTACATATAAAAAGTTGTGCATTTAAAGCTTTATGTGAATACATTCTTTATAAAACAAATAATTTAAAATTGTTACTAAATAAATATTACTAATAAAAATATTATATCCATTGAATAATTATTATATTGAAAGGAAAACATCTGAAATTTTTTGGTTTTTTTTACTATTGTGACAAGATTTGTGTCGTTCTGCAAAGAACTAGTTCAAATAATCTATTCCGACAAGGGAACGATCGATACTTAGTTCGAGGAATTCATAGGTACTCAAAATGTTAAATCCATAACTTTTCGCACTGAAAAAAAATGTGAGGTTGGGGAGAAAAAATAATTTTGTAAATATTCTGAGTACTTCCAAGTTCAGACCAAAGATCCTTCCTTTTTTCCATTCTAATATAAGTAGGCTTATCAATTATTGCATCAATAAATTTGATGTCGGAATATCTACCATATGGACAGTTTAAGTGGGTAGATAATGTGGAATATTTTAATGCAAGATACATTGCAGCAAATTCTGAAGTAGGTTACATACATGAGGTTGATTTGGAATATCCAACCGAATTTTTGACTATCATAACGATTTACCATTATGCGCGGAAAATAAAAGAAACGAAAGTATGAAACATACTAAATTAATAACAGATTTAAAAAATTACAGGAAAAATACAGATCTACCTTGTTTTAAACAGGGAATATAAAAGTTACGATATCACCCACCGCGTCCTAATTCACAAAATGGTTACCTTTCTTAAATAGCACGGGTTTGCTGTTTTTCTTGCACTTGCTTCTTCAGTATTTTTATACCAGACAAAGTGAAGTAAACACTTTTACTTATTTAATATATCAAAATTATATTAAGATAAGTCTAAGAATAGAACTCAAATAAAGAAAAAGTAGCAGAAGCTACAAGAAAAAAAAATAATTTTGTTTTTTAACGACGACGAAGATGGGATTAAACCAAATCTTGAAAATATAATTTGTGTAAGTTACCAAAATAAATAAAACATTTGTCGCTGAGAAATGCTTAGTTAGCATTTTCCCACAATAAATGATTGGAAGTGCATCGTTGACATGTTTTGAAAATGCACCACCAACAAAACATAAAGTCTTTAGTCTTCAATCGAAACTCAAACATTCAAGAACATAACAAAAGCTGAACCTGAGTAGCAGCACCAACAACAATCAACATTATTTTAATAATAATAATAATAATTTTAGTGAAACTCATAAATTAATAATAACATTTGGTTTAAACTATTAATACTTAAGAAACAATAATATAAATCAAAATAAATAGACAAATTAAAAATATTTAACTTGTACAAAAGTTCCCTTTGCCAAAGACTCAAAAGGAAATAAAAACAATTTCTTGGATTAGCAGGTTACTACCGAAAGTTTATGAAAGATTACTCAAAGATAGCCAGTGACAATGACAAAATGCAGATGCATTATCCAAAATAGAATTTCATTTCAACGAAGATGAAAACGTATCTAACGATAACCCAGAAACAAATAACATGCTTAACTTTTACAAGAGACAAATTGTAATTTATAAAACATCTTCAAGATCACTGAAGCTAAACAAATGAACATATTTTTAAAAATAACCGGAAGACAATTTATGCGAAAGTTTTTCATGAAGAAACTCTAATTACTCTATTAAAAAATCATTTTGATCCAGATAAAACCATCGCAATTTTCGTAAATGATGAATCTGTTTTACTGAACTGGAAAAAGTTTTAGAAAAATACTTTGGAGAAACCCAACATTTTAAGACAATACGTTGTAAAACTCTCTTTAAAAATATTACAGATGAAAATGAACTAACAGAAAAAGAGCATAATAATAGAGGAATTAATGAAAATATCGCAGAGCAACGCAATTTTCGTAAATGATGAATCTGTTTTACTGAACTGGAAAAAGTTTTAGAAAAATACTTTGGAGAAACCCAAAATTTTAAGACAGTACGCTGTAAAACTCTCTTTAAAAATATTACAGATAAAAATGAACTAACAAAAAAAGAGCATAATAATAGAGGAATTAATGAAAATGTTGCAGAGCAAAGCAATTTTCTTAAATGATGAATCTGTTTTACTGAACTGGAAAAAGTTTTAGAAAAATACTTTGGAGAAAACCAAAATTTTAAGACAATACGTTGTAAAACTCTCTTTAAAAATATTACAGATGAAAATGAACTAACAGAAAAAGAGCATAATAATAGAGAAATTAATGAAAATGTTGCAGAGATAATAGTTCAAATCTATCACCCACAATTAAAATTACGTATAACACAATTCATTAATATCTGTGACGTATGTAACAAAGTATAATATGAAAGAAACACGGTTAAAAGTAATATAAAATTACCGAAACGCCTGATGAATATGAAGAAATCATTTCCGCAGACTTCTTTTATAGTTTAGAAAAATCACTATTTTTAACATTTTTATACAAATTTTAAAAACACGTTCAAACCATAAGGATAAAAGATAGATCCTGGATCGAATTTAAAAAAGCACTTACACAATATCTCTCAACCGTTGAAAGTAAAAAAATGATTATGGACAATGAATTAGGATTTAAAGCACTGTTCCTTCGAAAAATTTTAAGAGAACAAGAAACTGACATATATTTTACTTCAAATAATAAGCACACTTCACAATACAATCAATGAACATATCCGATTTTGAAAACACGACCCTAACAAGGACACAGAAAGCGTTGAAGACAAATATATTTTATATGATTAAAGCAGTTTAAGTAGAATAAGTTTTTTTTTTTTAATTTTAATAAAAGAAGTCAGTTCATTCAAACTCATCAAAAGACAACCAAGTCTTTTATTGTTAACTGGCGCCCAATTGGGTTAATTTTAGGGATTTACTTTGTAAAAAGTTATCTTCTAACCCAGCCCAAAGATAAAAACAAAAACGAATATTGCCCAACGGAGTAAATTAAAATGGATTTATTTCTTAAGAAGTCATCCGTAAGTGTATTACCCATTGAAATTAACAAATTGTGTCCAAAACTGGGGAACATATTATGAGATTCTTACATAGTCTAGTGCGCATTTAAAACATTTAAATTTCTGTGCAAAAAATGCAGTGATTAAGATCGTGTTATACTCGTACCAACTTTTCTTAAAAAAAGGAGAATATAAACGCTGACGAAATTTCTACATTGATAGAATCCGATGTACGAGCAGCGATTCTGACACACAAAACAAAAGTCGACGACTTATCAAAAATTTGTCCTCCATTTTTGTATGACAAAGTGAACATTTATTCAAGGATAACATGCGTTGAGTCGATAGATGTTATTAAATCTTTGCCCGAATTTGACGGGAAAATAGAAAATTATGTGTCGTGTAGACAAGCGGCACATAACGCATATAAGCTTTTTGAAAATTATGATGGTAGCTCAAGGCCCTACCAAGCGGTTTGCATCATTAGGAATAAAATTAGAGGATCGGCAAAACAGTATTAGCATCATTCAATACTGTGTTAAATTTTAAAGCTATCATAAATAGGTTAGATTTTACGTATTCAGATATACAACCAATTTACCTGATCGAACAGGAACTAAGTACCCTCAGATAAGGCGGACAGTCGGTGATACAATTTTATGATGAAGTAGAGAAAAAGCTTTCATTGTCAACTAATAAAACTATTATGAGTTATGACAGAAATCTAGCGTTAGCCATCTATAACAAATACCGACAAGAGTATTTGTTTCCGGATCAAGGAAACCACTCTGTGATTTACTCTTCACGACCCGCGCCGCTGATCTTCCCTCAGCTCTAGCCTTAGCGCAAGAAATGGAGGCGAATCATGAAAGATACGTTTTCGCTACATCGTTTGCGAATAGGAATGATGAAACAGAGAGAAAACCGTCTGTTAATAGTTATAACAATAACGAAAAAAACGATCATAAACACAAAAACCCACATTACGAAAAAGGTGGTGATGCTAATTTAAAGCCTAGAGATCAAACCGAAGAAATTGACTTGGATCCAGCGTCTTCTAAATTCAGACAACCGACCAATTATGGTAACGGTAAAAATGCTCCCATACACCCATTTAAGCGTCAAGCAGGGTCTGAACCGGAGTACGGGCCCAAAATTCCAAAAAGTTAATAAAATAATGCCAGAAGTTCATTCAGGAGAAGGGCCGGCGGAACACTATGAAGACATATCTCAATCTGAATTTGAAAACATAAACGGCACATTCCTCATAACTTTTGAAAAAAATGTGACTGTCAATGGTACGTTGTTCGTAAATAGAAACAACATCGATATGCGGAAACCAGGAACACCATCACTTAACTCAATTATTATAAACAACCACAGCGAAATTTTAAGTTTATCACTTGCAAAACTTACAATATATTGGAAGAGATGCAAAGTCTACTTCACATTATGCCTCATTAAGCGTTGGAAGAAGAAGAGAGAACAACGAGATTTTAAATATGCTGTAGCAATGGCTATAAAGAAGACCAAGGACGGCCTTCACTTAATTGAGGGGGTAGTTAGCACATCCCTGCCAAACTAACAGGTAACCATGTTGCCTGTTGTGAGCATTGCTTGCCTATATTGATTTTGAGTGTTGTGTGCTTAGCTTGGAGTCGTGTTACGTCTGGTGGCGTGATCATGGGAAGCATAGTGTCAGCAATTTTAATTTTTTTGATAAGTAGTTTAAGTAGAATAAATTTTTTGATTTTAAGAAAAGACAAACAAGTCTTTTTTTGTTAACTTATATCACAAAATAAAATGCGAAAGAAACCTGGTTAAAAATCAATACAAAACTACCGAAACACCTGATAAGCCCGGAGAAATCATTCACGCAGACATCTTTTATAGCTTAGAAAAAACACTATTTTTAACATTTTTAGACAAATTCTCAAAAAAAGTTGAAGCTATAAGGATAAAGATAGATCTTGGATCGGATTTAAGAAAGCACTTACACAATATCTGTTGAATATTGTGAAATAATTATATTGGCAACACATATTTTATGTTAATTAGAGATCCCTAAGTAAATTAGTTACGATAAGCAAGTAATGATTACTTTAGATTTTGGAAATAAATGTAAGTAACCACTAAGATGTATCTAGAAGAAGAAAACTCTAGAATAAGACGAAACGTTCATAAAGTATCGCCAGTTAATAAAGTAACGTCCACCTGTATATAAAGTATATAAAGTATTGTGAGTGCCGTGTAACGTCCGAGAAATAAAGTCTGCCAACACCCCGTATTGCCACTGTGTTTTATTTATTGGGGGTAATCATCGTTTGTCGATGTAAAAATAAAATTTTCAAATTTTTGATTATGGACAATGAATTGGGATTTAAAGCACTGCCCCTTCGAGAATTTTTAAGAGAGCAAGAAATTGACATATATTTTACCTCAAATAATAATCATACTTTAAATGCGGATGTCGAAAGACTTCACAATACAATCAATGAACATATCCGAATTTGAAAACACCCACACAGAAAGCATTAAAGAAAAAATATATATAATAACATATTGTAACAATACGATACATTCGACAACTGATAAAAAAACAATAGGTTTAAAAAATGGAAAAATAAGTCAAGATGAATATCTCTTAATTTATAAACGAACCCCGTGAGAATGTAGAAATCCAGACAGAACCGATCTACTTAAATTATGAAATTGGCGGAAAAAATCGTTCCAAATTTCGTAAAGTAACAGTAAACGAATGAGATGATGAACATGTAGTAACAGATCGAAATCATAAATATTATACGTCTCATAAAAAGGAGAAAAATAAATTCAAAACTATCGATGATAATTAGACGTCAACATGATCTAACTACAGATGTTATTCTTTCTATATGAACTTTAAAATACTCTTTTTATGGAGACAGAACCGATCTACTTAAAGGATGAAAGAACGGAAAAAATCATTCCATATTTCGAAAAGTAACAGTAACAGAATTAGATAATGAACATGTAGTAACAGATCGAAATCATAAATATTATAAGTCTCATAAGAAAAAAGAAATTCCAAACTATCGATGATAATTAGTCGTCAACATGATCTAACTACAGATATCATTCTTTCTAGATGAAATGTAAAATACTCTTTGTACTACTCACTTCAATGATGAACAATAGCCAAAGCAAACTAATGGAAATGCCTGACCTAACGGATAATGATGGATACATTCCAATCAAAGACGGCGATATAAAGATCGTTGATAATTACCGCAGAATATATCAACTTTTTAATTTAACACATTACCATAACATTATCGAAATTATAGATACAAATATTAACTCATTACATGGTTCAATGTCAGAATTGTTGCCGTTACTTGATACAACAATAAATAATTTTAAACTTTTAAAAATTAAATTGGACAAGTTATCACCAAATCTTAGAAGTAGACAAGTTCAATATGAAATTATTCAATGGATATTCATTAAAATTAAATTAAATATAATTTTTATAAAATAAAATACTTTTATTACATGGTTTTCATTTGGGTTTAAAGAAAAACAAAATCACATTCAGACATGACATTTAAAAAAATACATAACGAATCAAGAAAATCTATAACATAACATATCTCATGATTTAAAAGGACTAAGTGACAATCTATATTGTTGTTGCTTTTTTTTCAACTCAACTTAAATTCTATACAACTATAAGACTACAACAATACATTGTATGAGGTATTTCGGAGAAAATTCAACTAAAAAAACAAGATCATAACACAAAAGAAATTAAAATTATTATCAATATAAACGGCACACGCAAGCCACCAACATAAATATGTATGTCTCCATATGGATATCTCTATACAAACAAGACTTACAACACTTTTCATTACATATAAAATACCGACCTTGATTGATTTTCGCCAGCCGTAGCCGATGATGCTGCAGCAACATCTTCTTGTATACATATTTGTGGATTCGGTGTAATTGGTCTTAGCGGTGGAGCATTCTCCAATAGACCCGTTGGCAGGGTCACATTATTGGCCACCGATGAAATCGAAATTGAATTGACATTTTCCGTATGTTTAACAGCATTATCTTTATCACGCAATTGTTGCATATCATCTGAGTTGGGCGATTGAATTTCAACAGCCTCCTGTGCAGCATTACCCATTACAATACCCACAGAGGGTAGAAAATTATTATCGTTGTTAAAATTGAAATTTGTTGCAGCCGATATAGCCAGCTCAGTATCGGAATCTACATCCGGTTCGAAGATGCTATTATCATTTTCCTCCGAATCGGAACCACTTGTGGAGAGTTTCGAAGATTTACCACCAACTGTAAATGTGGGCTTTTCTGTCGCTTCCATACACTTGTCTATGGAAGATTGTGATTGACGCATTACTTGGGGATTTATTTGAGCAGTAGTTTTGTTGTTTGAGGTGCTTGGAGCGTTATTCGTTGTTTTGTTTTTGTTTGGATTGAGCGTTTGACCCAATTTCGAGAATTGACCAGCGACATTGGAAAAGGCTTTGGAACTAATTTGCAGCAATTGAGATTCGGAGAGATTGCGAGGCATTCCCTAGAGAATATTAAAAAAAGTAAAATTAAAGATTATTGAAGGGAAAAATAGAATGGCAGAAGTTCACCATGCGGAAAGGTTTTCGTAGTCCCCAAGACGAAAATATATCTAAATCTGAAACGATAGTCATGAAACTTAACACACATCATTTTCGTGCATATGGAAAGATATTTAGGGACTTTGGCGCACCATTTAACTTAAATCGCACCATTTAACACATATATATGGGAGCTATATGGAAAGATATTTCTATGAAACTTCGCACACATCATTCCAGACTTAATTCAGTACGCTATGCCAAATTTCATGCATAATGAAAGATATTTAGGGACGTTGGTACACCATTTACCTTAAATCGGATGAAAATATATGTGGGAGCTATATCTAAATTTGAACCAACTTCCACGAAACTTAGCACACATCATTCTAAACTTAATTTAGTACGCTATAACAAATTTCGTGCAAATCGAAAGATATATAGGAACTTTGGTGCGTCATTTACCTTAAATCGGACGAAATTACCTATGGGAGCTATGTCTAAATTTGAACCGATTTTTCCCAATTTCAATAGGGTTTGTTCTTGGGCCAAATAAATGAGCTGTGCCAAATTCCATCCAAAACAGATGATAAATGCGACCTATTAAAGGGAAAGTCTAATGAAAAAACAAGGTCCTGAAAGCGCTGACAGGTACCTCTTGGGGAGAAGATAAATAAACTACGCAGATGATTGCACCATTTTTTGCATCATGTCTTCGGGTTTCTTTAAAAAAAGGACAGACTTTTTAATATGATAGTTTTTAATCGAACATCTGATAATCTTCTCGAATAAAAAACACTAGGTCTTCATTCAGTTTTTTCTTTATATACCAGAAAACATAACTCCATTCTTTTCTTTAAGATTTTTCCGGCAATCATCATCATGAACTCACCTTTGGTACTTCCAATAAAGGATTTCGACTTTTGCGTCTTTGCAAAACACCACCGGTTATAAATTTAACATCTGAACGACCCACCGTATCCAAAGCTATACGAAACATTTCCACAATCGATTGCATTGATTCTACAAAGAAAAAAAATAAAATTATTACAAAACTTTCAAATTATTCCCCTTTCTGAATTTGGTCCTTAACTCACCAGATATTTCCTCCGGTGTCCTAATGGGATAAGCCATATTATTAAAGAAACGTATATTTGCCGATCTAAACATATGGAAGTAACCATCGACACCATCCACAGTATAATTGATACGCAAACAAAGCATGGCTGGTGTGGAGCCTTGGAACATTTTCGAATGTTGTTGATACATGCCCAACTCAATCATGACAATATTTTCCAATAACACCTTTTCAAAACGTACAATTTTATCTAAATGGGAATCATATTCGGCAACAATATAACTTTCATCGGTTAACAGGAGTATGCTATCGACTTCGGTTTCATTGATGTCGCCAGATCTAAAAAGAATAAAAAATGTACAAGTTAAAATTGATATGAAATATATATAATATAAATTGTACTTACCCCGGATCGGCATCAATTAGACCCCAAGCACCGACTGGATATTGTGCTGAACCCAATAGCAATTTACGACAATCCTCCACAAGCAATTTTGCGTGTTCGGCGCCTTCCGAAGCATCGGTGTCGTCCGGGGCCGCTTGGCCCCCCAATGCGTTTAAAGATTCAGCGGTGACAAGATTACCCAACATTAAATCGATGGTGGCTTGACGATAGCTGTCCTTAAAACGTGCCAAGTAATAGCTATAAAAGAAAAATCACGTAAAAAGGAAACACACAATTCGAATCATTAGAAATTATTTTCAAACTGCAACAAAATCATGCAAGTTAAATGAAAAAAGAAAACAAAACAAAAACTGAAAATAATACCTTTTGTAATGTTAAAATAAAACAAATCGAAATGAAAGGTATAACTAAATAATGTTGAAATATGGAATTGTTGAAAATATCTGGTATGTGCAATTGAAACTCGTTGCGAGTGGCAAGTTTACTACTAGCATCGCTATTATTATCATTATCATCTTCTTGTAGATGATCACCACCATTGCCGAGATTATTATTACTATTACGCCACCTTGTGTAAATAACATTTTCCAATAATTGCAATTCCGGTTGTAAAACCCCAGCATAATAATAGCCCCTTGTTGGTGCCGGCACAGAGGGACATAAAATTTGTAGTATTGTTGTCAAAACTTCGTCCTCTCTCAATTGTTGGGCATCATTCAATTGGCCCTGCATTAAATCAATAATGCACTGACGAAATGTATCGGCAAAATTTTGTATGAAAAAACTACGAATAGAAAAAAAAGAGAAGAGAAAGAACAAAGATACGAAGTTTTTGTTTTTGTTGGTGTTGAGGATATGTATAATCGAAATTAAAACAAAAAAACGAATAAGAAAACACAGAAATTGTTATTAGTTAGAAAAATGTCGTGTGTATTAAATATTGAAATGTTTTCTTTGTTTGGTTAATAGAGAAATATGATTGTGATGAAGGAAATTAGTAAATTTATATTACAAATGATTTTTTACAGAAAAGAGAAAGAATTGTTTTCAAAAAACAGTTCCAAAATATTTGCCTAAGCACCTAACCTCCATAAAAAGAAGAACTAAATATTCAATCATTTAATTTGTTAATAGAAAGAGAATTAACCTAAACTAAATAACCTAAAAAACTTATTTAATTCAGAAGAAGGGGCTCAGAAAGCAATGCTTACAATCTATTAAAAACTCTATGCACAAAATCTCGAGACTCAAGCTTCGGATTACAAAGCGATGACATACAAGTAAGGATTCTGTCCATATCGCATAAGTCCTCACTTCAATTACAAGGAAGCTGATTCAAAGCACCGGATTGACTCAAAGACTTCGACCAGGGGCTACCAACTCCACAAATGCAAGTATTTGGAAATATTATTGTCACACTTGGTCTGCGAGGCTATAGAAATAATCTCCGGACCTTGATTCCATCTGCCAACCTCAAAGTGGCTGAGCCACAGGCGGAATTACGCCCACCAGCAGAAGGTACACTCTCCCCCTTGGTGAGGGGCGAAACCACAACCCCCCGCAAAGCTCACCAGGGGGCCACACCAACTGACAGACTGGATCAGGCTCGAATCCCAATACAAAAATATACAACAGATCGCAGCCTCTACCAGACATCACAACACATACAATCAACGTTTCCCGCAAGTCCGGGTCCATTGTGTAAAAGCAATAGGACTGGAATCCCAATACAAAAATATACGACACGTTGGCAGTAACGACGTAAGTCAGCACAAACAATTAACATGCCTTTGTCACTGTTCGTCCACGTAGTCCCTCACCTATCAAAAACACACTCCCGAAGTATAGTGCTGTACCCACCTGATCAGAGGGCTTGAGCCAATCATCCTCATCCAACTGCAAGCCACGCTTAAGCCCTAGTAGCGAGGTGTCAAAACTGCATGGATGTGGGGTATGGATGCATTTTCGTGATTGTATCGGTTTAAACCGTATATAAAAATGTCGCTAAGTTCAGCCGTGCCAAACTTTTGGTAGTCTTCACTATGTGGTGGACATTTAGAATACATGTAATCGTACGGGATCTTCATAAATGGCGGGCTATGCCATGTTTAATTTTTTGAGGAATAAGCCTCTTTCCTATCGCGTATAGAGTGCTATTCAGCGTACTGTGTGAACGACTGAAGCAAACGGTCAATGACATTATTCGCCCATACCCAATGTGGCTTCAGACCTGAAAAATTCACCTTTTACCAGATTTTCACTCTGCGCCAAATTTTGGAAAAGACCCAACGAAAAACACATCGGCACATTACTTTCCACTATAAAGCCGTCTTCGATAGCCATATCCGTTTAGAGGTTTTTAAAGCCATATCAGCGTTCGGCATTTCTGCAAAATTAATACGGCTATGCAGGATAATTTTAACTGGCACATAGTCAGCAGCTAAAGTCGGAAATGACATATCTGAGACCTTTAATACCGAACCAGGATTCAGACAAGGTGACAGTCTTACGAGAGGTAAATGTGAACAGAAATGACACGATACAAGATGCTGAAACTATCCGTGCTGTTATATGGATCTGAAGCTTGGGTACTGTCGCAAGCAGATAAGGCAGCTCTTGGAGTGTTTGAAAGATAAATTCTCCGAATGATCTATGGGCCGATCTGCATCTACGGTGTATATCACCGTTGAATGAACCATGAGCTGTACCATCTATTCTCGGAGATCGGCATTGTCAGACGTACCAAGCGGCAGCGACTACGTTGGCTAGGTTATGTGGTCAGATTTGATAAGGCATGTAAAAGCGAGCCAAGTAATGGTTCATGCAGAAGGAAAAGGCCACGAATCCGATGGAAAGATCAAGTAGCAGACAACATCTCGGAAAATTGTCTTTCAAATTGGATGAGATACGCACAAGAACGACGCGCATGGAAATCTATTTTAAGTTCGTCTTATGGAACAAATATTCTGTCCTAAGCCAGCTAAGTAATGTAAGTGAGTACAGTAGACTACGGATTAAAATTAATTTTTTTTAATACAGTAATGAATTCAAAAACTGAATCTTAAAACCATATAAAAATTCTACCAGATACTTTTCAGTACAAATCAACTGTTAAATTGTTATTCTAAAAATATGATACAGGAAACGAAATAACAAAGTCGATATATCCCCCATACTAAGGTGTAGGATATAACATGTTCATGTAATGTTTAATTTTATTGCAATTTTGAATAAACGAATCGCATCCAGAAAAAATCTGTACAAATTATTACCGAATTTTGAGTAAAAATATGCCTAATAGAAAAGCTAGCTTTTGAAAACAATTCTTAATAAAATTAGTAAAATTTTGAAAGAAAAACCAAGCATGCCGAAAATTATTGATGAATATTAGTGGAAAAAATGGGGATAGAGGAGATACGAGAGAGAAAGACCCCAACAAAAGTATTCACAAAACGTTAATAAACCAACTTTGCGATTTTTCGAAGAGAAAAAATTAAAGCATTGGCAAAATATTTTCAACAATTGTCTAAACTAAAACAAAAGACAAAACAAAAACTAAAAAAAAAACATAAAATAACAACGAATAATATATATACAACTACAAAAAATGGGATAACCTACCGATTAGCTGAATTCATGCCATCTTTCATCATGCCGCTGATTTTGCGTTCACCTGTGCGTGTGTAATCACCCTGGAAGAGAAAAACAAATTGTATGACTGATTATTAAGAAAAAATGGAGTACGATTTAAATTACCTTCAAAGCATTGGTGCCAGCATATTGCCGACTTATAATATCACCATTGTTGGCCCACAACACCATAAATGGCGATTTCAAAGCCTCCGGTATGGGTGTATATGGCGGAGCCATACCCAATTTAACTAATTGCGATTCTAATACTGCTTTACCCAAAGCGGTCTGCACCACATTTGTACGATCCAAACAATCCATACAGTTGACACGAAACACTGATTTCTGATTGCATATAACACCACGTTGATCACGCCAATGAAAACCCATGGCACCGGCCTCTGGTGCTAAAGCCTCTACCAACGCCGAGACATTTTCAAAACGCATACCACGACAATAGTCGTGAAAATCAAATGTTATATAGACAATACGATCGTTGTTATATTTCAAAACATGTTTGGCATAGGCATCGCCGATCAGCTTCTCTTTGCCACTTTGTTCGACCAAATTTACAATACACACACCCTCATAGATATTGAGTTCTTTATTGAAATGTATTTCAAAAGCTTCCTGGGTCTCTTGTTCACCTCTATCCAGGCGGGGTGGTGGTCGATATTTATAACCCGGCTGAGACCAATAAATCGGTACCGAACCGCGAACTTGAGTAAACGCCAATTGATGATGACGGAAAGTGAGTATTTGTTCGGTCTCCACATAATTTGCACAATTGCCGTTTTCATCGACACCACGTCGTTTGTAACGGGTCCCGGCACGATGTCGTGACCGTCGTGAAACCAAAGCCAAATTGAAGCACTCATTACCAATGACACATGTTTCCACTTGGACAAAGCCCTGAATTATGGGCAATATCCAGGTTTTGTCCTGAAAAAAGAAAAAAAATTGTTATAAAAGATCTGTCAATAGGAAAAATTGTTCTCTACTCACATTCAATTTCATTATAGCCTCCAACATATGCATATTCCAAAAGAACCTCTCATCCGGTGTCTGCTGATCTGTAGAGCCCGTCGGCAGATGGCGTTGCAAATTATTTGTAATATCATGTTCGAAGCAGAAATAAAAACTATCCGTATCATCGAATACCTTGTGCAGCTCCTCCGTAATTCGCTTCTCAATTCTCGATGGATCGCGTATACCCACCGATGACTTAACTTGATTTGAGGCCAGGGCCGCCGCTTGCTGTGTAGTATTCTTTATAGTTGTACCAGCACTTTTCACAGCACCCCATGTTTTGTTCATCAACTGATTGCCTTCGAATAACTTCGTACGTGACGACGACGTTGATGTTGCCGAATTGGCATTCGCATTATTAGCATTCGCTATCGACGTCGATGATGTTGAGGAATTTCTTGAATGTGTTGGTGTTGTATTGGAACTTCGTGAATGACGTGTACATGGTGTAAGGCTAGTGTCCGGATCATCAGCACTTAAAATACATATTGACTTAATTTTATACACTAAATGTGGTGGATAAAGTACACCGACCGGTGTAGCCTCCTTAATTATCACAAGATGCGGTTCATAGACATTGGGTAGGGATATAACGCCGACAATGCCATGTGTAATGCCAATGCATTCAATATCGTCCACGGAAGAGAGATCCCATCCTGGAAGAAACGAAAAAAAATTTAGGAAAAAAATTATACAGGTTTTTAAAAAGAGAAATTAATATTTTAAGGACATGTTTTTTCAAGGACGAACATAAAGCCGTGGATTTTTTTAAAAAATATATTTTCAAGGACTATAGGAAGCATGGATTTATTAAAGAATTTTATTTCAAGGTCTAACAGAGAAGAATATATAAAGAATAATAATTTATCAAGGACAATAAGAGGCATGTTTTTTAAAGAATACTTTAAAGGACACAGATTGTATATTTAAATCTTTTTTGTGTATGTACGTTTAATTTTTTTTTTTTTTTTTTTTGATTTTTTATTTTTTAGGTCAAACAAAAAATGGGATTATTAAATTTCTTAAAGGTATTAGTACCGAAATTGTATCAAAATTGGAATTGTTGTTGATTGTTTACCAAAAAAACCTAATTTTGTTTCCGTTATTAACACCCTCGATGATAAATATTTTAACAATTAATTGTCATAGTCACGCAATGGTTTTATGAATTACCGGTTACTATTTGTTTACGTTTAAAACAACAACAACAAAGTATCGAATATACCAAAATAATCCATAATTTTGTTAATAGCTCCTTTAGGTTAACACATTGTTGCTGATATTATTTATTTATGTTTACCCGGAAATGAAAGGGAATTATTTACTTTTTTGGGAAAAGGGTGACTGAGAATAGCTTATATCTAGGACACGGATTGTTGATTCGTTATAGCATTTCCAGTGTACAGCTAATTCGAAATTTTGGGGTTAAGTTAATATAAATATGAGGGTAGTGAAGAATTGTAAGCAGAGATCAAGGCATGATATGTCTACCTTTTGAGCATCCTCATCAATTCTCACAACGTAGTCGCTGCAACTCGATACGCCTATGTCGATGTCCGAGAATAGATGGTACAGCTCATGGTTCATTCGACGGCGATATTCACCGTAGATGCAGATCGGCCCATATATCATTTCTAAGTTTCTTTTATAGGTCATAGTAACATTTGTTGGCCAAAACTATCATTAGTTTTATTTATGGCGGTACCGAGATATCTTGTCTAGCAGGGTGTTAAAAAGGTCACAAGAGAGGCTGTCATCTTGTCTGAACCTTATGGTATATACACTTTGATACGGCAAAAAGTGTCTCATCGAATATTAGTTTTAGATCCCATGTTTCTTTGGGTCAAATCCGTTTCAGACCATTTGAAGTCGATTAACAACTGTTCGCCTATCTGTTGTTCTGACTGGCGGGTGCGCACGATAACTATCAAAGGGAGTTACCGATTTCAACCAAACTTAGCACATGGTAATATTTCTTCTAAACATAAATAAAATATGAAGATGTGGAATATCCGTCCACTCCTTCTAATACCTCCCACAAAAAATGGTCAGAATTTTGCTGAAAATTAATTTTGTAATATCAAGGGAATGGACTATCCGATTCGAACCAAAATTTGTACAACTTATTATTTGTACCTAACATAGATCAAGTCCGAAGATGTGGACCCATTGGTCCACTCCTTCTGGTAACTCCCCCATCAATGGTCAAAATTTTCGAATAAATTGTCCGTCTTAAACCAGACTTTGCACATCCTATTATCGTTAACGATACCAGATTTAGACCCATTGGTCCTTTTGGTAACTCCCCCCTACAAATGGCCAAAGTTTCAATATTTCTAAATCCAATTTCAGGGGAAAGGAATGATTGATTATAACCAAATTGCACAGTTCTTTACCAACCGGGACCCGTCGGTCCTATCTTTCTGGTACCTCCCCCATAAAAGGTCAATATTTTATTAATTTCTACATTTGAAGCAAATTGAATAACTGCTTCGGTCAACATTAAATCCGAATCCTCTTTGATAAAAACATAAGCCTCATATAAAGCGAATACTAAAGCTGTGTGTAATTCCGGAGACCTCCTCAAACCATAGGCTAAGGGCAACACCGACTAAAACTTTTTTACTTGTTAAGAAGAAAATCTGTAGGGGTTAATTTTAAATTATTTGTGGACTAACAGAGACATTTTATCTAAGAGTATCAGAGTCTGAAGGCGTCGATTTTTAGGACTGTTTGTATTAGTCGTTGGCGTTGATTTGTTTATTTTTTAAGACAATTAGAGCCATACGTCTTGAATTTCTTTGTAACAGTAAATTGGCAATCTAAATTGATTAGACAATTAGAGCCATAACGCGTGGATTTTTCCTTAAGCTATTGGAGAAATAAAGTTTGAATTTTTGGATACTTTTTTAAGATTATTGCTTTTAGGACTTATGGCTCTTCCTCAGTCCAATTAACCATAATCCAGACCAACAAAATTAAATCCGTATCATTATTAGTAAGATACGAGTATTGATTTCACAGCATACAGAAAATTATTGTCACAAATCAGTAAAAACTTTGGCCAAATCCATTAAACTGGCTTCAAATTCCTTTCACACATATCGAATTTTTGTTCTTCCATCTCAAATGATTGCTCACAGGGAAGAAATTGTCTTTGAAAAAAAAAAATCGAAAGAATTTATTTATAAAATTAACTGTTAAAATTAAATAGTAAACACTCGTATTGCATGCAATGACCCCCTTTTTTTGTTGTTGAGCAAACACGTTCAAGGATTATTCCAAAGTACACAAGTTTACTTTATGTGTTTAATATTTTTGCAAAAAAAAAATATTTTCTATTTTTATTGCATCTATTCTAGCGGAAAATATGAGCTAGTGAAATGGTCATTTTATATTGAAGGAGCAAGAATAAAAGAAGGGTTGTTTTGCAGATAGCTTTTGGTATATTGCCTACCATAGGTTGATATGGAAAAAATGGAATTGGAATTGAAAACAAAAAAAAAAATTAAAAATTTTGTATTTGGAATTGAAAACAAAAATAAATTCACCGATTCTCAAACATGAATTTTTTGAGAGACTTGAATGAAAATCTAATTTTATTTTTCAATTAATACTGTAGTCATTTTCCAATAAACTTAGCTAATTTTTTGTATTGGAGAAATAAAAGTCAGAAATCATAAATCTCTCTTTCGTCCTCAACAACAAATATAATACGAGCCACCCTCATATGTATATTTTTATTTAGAAAATGATAGTAGCAAAGAAAAAATCACAACACCATTAATAGTTGCTATGCGTTGCTACTCTTTCTCGTCCGTATACATTGTATACCAAGGATATAATAAAACAAAAATATCCTTAAGTGGTTTGCTCTACAACCGTCGAATACAGAGATTACATTTAAAGTGAAGAGACGTGAAAAGAAGTTCATGTCTTTAGAATACACAAATTAAATTGAATTACAAAAAAAAAAAAAAAAAACTAGCGAAGAAACGTCATGGAATATGATTAAATTAATACTCTAATATATTAAATTAATAACAAAACAAATTGAGATAAGGGACCTACGAAACTCCCAGGAATATTACGAAGAACCATAGACATAATTTTCCATATATAATAAATATGTATATTAAATTTTGAATTTAATTTAAAATTCCTCCAATGAATCACATGGCATCTATTTTCCAATAGACGTCATTTAAAAGAAGTGTCGCTTCCACCATTGTTACAAATTCGTTTCATACGATACGCATAATCAATAAAGTTCACATTACGACAGCAAATCTATTGTACGTAATTTTTTTGGATAAGAATAGATTTCAAAAAAGAATTATTGGCTTGCATCCAATATGATGTCATGCAAAATATAAAGACAATTTTTCAAAAAAAAAAAAAAAATCAAGTGAAAACAAAAAGGTCCATAAATTTAAAACTTGCCTTAAGTAATTGTTATATTAAAGGGTGGAGAAAACAAGTGAAACGACAGATAAAAATTCTGGAAAGCAGAATTATCAACTCATCCTTAGGAGAGAGTTCCGTGAGGAAACTGACAAAACTGAGCTTAGTACAGCGATCGGCTTCAATCTTGATCACCGGAGCATTAAGAAGTACACCACAGGCGGCCTTGAACGCAATCTTGAATCTCCAACCATTGGATATTCTGATTAAATTCCAGGCGGCCAGGTATGCCCAGAGACTCCGGGAAACAGATGCCTTCAAATCGCTGAACTATGGTCATACCAGCATCCTAAACATAACACCAGGTTATGATCTCTTTAGGGGGGATAGTCATATCAGTGACTATATCCCCCCCATAGGGACTTTAATGACATCATTCCTAGTAGGGAATCCTGGACTAGTGGCTCCCTACCTCTGCCAGGTCTGTCAATCTTCACAGACGGGTCTAAGATTGATGAAGGCACAGGCGCAGGCGTTTACTGTAAGGAATTAGGTATACACAACTCATATAAACTCAACAATAACTGTAGCGTTTTTCAAGCACAGATTCTCGCAATCACGAAAGCGGCCGAGATAGTATAAGTACTCAATGTCGATATCACGGGACCGGTGACTATATATGTCGATAGTCAGGCGGCCCTGAAAGCGGTGAAGTCGCATACTACAAACTCGAAAGAAGTTCATGATTGTAAGACCGCTCTGAATGATATACGGCAGATAATTGAATTATGCTGGGTTCCAGGACAAAATGACATTGAAGGGAATGAGATAGCCGACGACCTTGCTCGAGGTGGCTCACAGTAGTCCAATCTTCTGATTGAGAGAACTGTGAAACCCCCCATTAGCTATTTCATTGGCAGAATCCGTGCGTTCCATTGCAATGTAATCGGTAACAGATGGCTAGGGGAACCTGCTTGCAGAATCTCCAAATCTATCTGGCCTGAATTCTCTCGTAAAAGAACGTCTTCGCTGCTGGAACACAGTAAGAGGGAGATCAAAATCGTTGTGGGGATTATAACTGGTCACTGCAAATTTAGATCTCTCACTTCTAAGTGGGACATCAGTGGAGAGGATTACTGTCGTCTATGTGAGGACGAAGAAGAACTGGAAACAACTGAGCACATCATCTGCAAATGTCCATCGCTGATCAACAGAAGACATAAAGAGTTTGGAAGTTCTGAAATTGATAATC